GGTATACCTTTGTTCCAGTATCAAAAGGAAACTATGACATATCCCATTATGAGCCTGCCTGCTTGTGTATTACAATCATCATGGGAAGCCTTTCTCTTGGTTCCACCACCCACACAGGGTCACTTTCCTGTATTTTGGAGACCCCTTGGGACAGGGAAGACTTCGCGGATACTGTTGTCACCGTTTGAATGTACATCAGCTAAAATGTTTCACACCAAGGAAGGTATTAATAGTATTCATGCAGAACAGACTCGCAAACAAAGGGTTGCAAACGAAAGCAATGTAGATAAATTGGGTCAGTTATTGTTGGAAAATAAACTGAGGACAGTGGGCCTTTTGTGAAGGTCAGAGATTCCTTCTCCAGTCTTGCAGTAACCTGGACACTGATTAACACTGTGGAAAGGCCCAGCCAACCCAGCCTACTTTTCACTTCACATTCTCACTATTTGATGAGGTACCTGAGGAGTTAATCATGGTTCTGAACAGAGCAGAAACATGAAGCCATAGGAAGAAAATAGTTCCTGAATGTCCATTGAGATCAGACTTGTGCCTATTAGTGTTCTAATTTAGGCATGGAATTCACTGAGCACTGACTGAGATGGAGGGGAATGAGGATTTATCATTTTAGTTATTAAAAATGAGTTACTTTCCACTACAGCATAAATACAGGGAAGGTTTGGAACTGATATAAAGTTAAGAACAGAGTTTGAGGAATAGGGACTAAGATTGACTATCATATCACTTTCCCTATTTTGAATCAGACTTCAGTTTTTCCATATTGGGTTATTCAGCTTCTTATATTTTCAGCTGAGAAAGGTTATCATCTGATTGACTTTTGCATGTTCTTAACTGTTTAGGATCTTATGTTAGTCAATACTCATACATTATAGGAAAGAATTATCCTGTGCTTTGTATGATAAAATGAAACTCATATGAATCCATATATTACCAGTCTTTCAGGTGAATCAGTAAAGCTCCAAACTAAAGATAATCCACACCTTGGAGTGCTTAAAACAACCGGAAAAAATATATTGAAACTAGGAGCAAAGTGAAAAATATTAAGCTTACAAATACAGTAGTACCCAAATCAAAGATAATCCACACCCTGGAGAGCTTAAAACAACCGGAAAAAATATATTGAAACTAGGAGAAAAGTGAAAAAAATTAAGCTTACAAATACAGTAGTACCTCGATTTATGAACGCCTCCGTTAACATAATTTTCGGTTTATGAGCGGAAATCCATTGAAAATAATGCCTCGGTTTAGAATGTTTTTCCGCAGTAGGAAGGAAGTTTCCCCGGGTTTATAGTGCTGCCCCCATATGGCAAACCGTGTTTCGGTTTAGGAATTTTTTGCGTCCATTGAAAATAATGCCTCGGTTTAGAATTTTTTTCCGCAGTAGAAAGGAAGGTAATACTACATATATAAAAATATGCAATGCTGAATTGTCAATCCCATAGTCTGCAATAGCCCATTGAAAATAATGCCTCGGTTTAGAATTTTTTTCCGCAGTAGAAAGGAAGGTAATACTACATATATAAAAATATGCAATGCTGAATTGTCAATCCCATAGTCTGCAATAGCTTTTTTATTTTAAATTCGTAAACCGAGGTAATACTGTATATATAAAAATATGCAACGCTGAATTGTCAATCCCATAGTCTGCAGTAGATTTTTTTATTTTTTGCTGTGCCATTTTCTGCATTCATAATGAATCCCCTTCTGCTTAATTATATTCATACATTCTTATCTCCTCAATCTGTAGTCTTTTTATGCTGTCATGAGAACTAGTGGCAAAATTCCCTTTTGGCTCTGGTAGATGCAAAATCAGTTTTAAAAAGTATTTCAGGCTTCTTAATATTCCAGATAATTTCCAAATAATTTTCTCCTTTGGCATGAAGAATGCTCAGTGAATGCTCTCTGGAAAAAGCAAATGTAACTGTGCTGTTACTTTCAATCAAATGTATTTCATTTCCGTATATACTGTATTGTATTATAGAATTTAACAACAAAACTTTGTTCCTTCCCTTTTTTTCTCTCCACTGTGTGGTAAAGTTTGTTTTCGATTCTAACTGTACCATCTCAGATATGTTCCCACTTTTTGGGGTAAAGCACACACCCTTACATACTAGAGTTTTGGCAATGGCCGTATCTTATGTAAGAATGACGTTGAGAAACAGAGTAGACTTGTCAATTGACAAGCAGGAAAGATGTATATTGAACACAGTGGTCAAATTATGTTTGCTTATCCCCAAACCCTTGGAACAATCATGAATACAAACCAAAAACAGAGACAGTTATGAGAGAGCAGTTACTCTGATAGATGCACAGTTTGTATGAGAGAGAGACAGACAGACAGACAGACAGACAGATAAAGAAAGACTTTTGCAGTTTTGCTGTCTGTTAATAATTGGTTGCCATCAAGTCTTTTCTGACTCATGGTGACCCTTTTTCGGGTTTTCTACGTAGAAAAACTACTCGGAGGTGGTTTGCCCTTCTCTTCTTTCTGGGGATATCCTGGGATTGTGCAGCTTTGTACAAGGCCACATAGGCTGACTCTTCTCCCTGGAGGGCACAGTGAGGAATTGAAGTCAACACCTCTGGCTCTGCAGCCAGACACTTAAATGATTGAGCTATTCAGCCATCTCTGTTAACAGTCTAGAATAAATGTAGCTGTGATCCAAGGGTTGGGGAGATGTGAGACCTTGCAGATGTTTTGGATGAAACTCCGGCCAGCCCTAGCAGTATCTGAGGGGCCACATGCTCTCCATTCCTGCAGCAGACAGATTCGAGATCAGGAAGTGACCGAAAACACTGGGGGTGGGAGAGAATTCGTGCACCTTATATCCTGACCCATGATAATGTACTTGCTGTAGATCTCCTGCCATCTTACTCCTACTTGCCATCATCACAATTTTTGCTACTACCTACAGTTTCCCTGCCCAAGATGAAAGAGGCAGTTAATTTAAAAGGTCAGAATCAGATTTGCTTATGCAGTCATGTAAAAGCAATCTTTTAGCTTCCCCTTCATTCCACAAATAATAAAATCAGGCATACATTCATTCATGTGGCTGAGTGAAGGTCACCTACAGGAAGAGCGGGGAAGGGGGCTTTGATTTCTTATTATTTTTGTGTTTACCACACCTTTGGTTTTAACATTTAGAACAATGATTCCCAAACTTGAGTACTCAGGCGGTCTTGGACTGAAGCTCCCAGAAGCCTTTACCACTAGCTGTGCAGTCCAAGATTTCTGGGAGTTATCAATGAAGAAGATCTGGGAACCCAAGGTTGATTTAGCGTTATGACTTATATTTAAATGCTTGATCCTTTGGCCCATGGCTCCATCAGATTATTCAGAACTGGTTGCACTGAGTGCCCTTACTAATGCGGTATCTTGAAGTCTGAGATTTGTGACAAGAAATGATCTCACTATTGATGAGATGTTGATATTAATACTGCATGCCTTTCAAAATACAGAAACATTATTTGCACTTTAAGCTGAGTTTTGCTGTCACATGAAAAATAACAGGTTCGTAGTAATCAAGTGTCACAACAAAGCTGTACTTCAGCCAAGTGAGGCCATGGCTTATTTTACCAAGATGACAAGACTCCTTTATATTGAGTAACTGAAAGGACATGGTGATAACATGGTAATGGCTGGAATCCAATTGGAAGAAAATACGTTGGTGTGAAGTTCATCTGTGTACATTTCAGTGGTGAATTTCTAATTTATTTATTTATTTATTTTATTTAATTTATATGCCGCCCACACTACCCAAAGGTCTCTGAGGAGTTGTCACAGACGTTTCCTCTTGCATATCAAGTCTGTGACTAGTTTGTGATGCAAAATGCCTGTGCTGACTTCTTAACTAGTAGCAGTTAATACTCAATAGCAGCTGTAAATAATAGGATTCTGGCCATTGCATTCTTTTTAAAAATGAGAGCTTAAGTAAAAATGAAAGCTGGAAGAAGAAAGTGCATTTCCAGTGATTAAGTGGACTTATTGAGTCCTTCACACACACACACCTTTTTTTAAAATCACAGATACAGATTGTCATTGCTTTAGATATCTGGCTATGCAGCCAGAGGTTGGTAGTTCAGTTCCTCACTATCCTTGACAGGGGCTGACTCGATTATCTCTAGGGTCCCCCCAGCTTTGCATTTCAAAGATTAGATGATGATGATGATGCAATTTATCATGAAACATAAAGAAAAATAGCATTATCATATGGCTTCATTTATTTTTAAGTCAATTTTAATTTAATTTTTACCATTCAGTTTTTTTTTTCTTCTTCTTCACCTATGCAAATCCTTTTAGAAATGGAGAACTTGTCACTCTGTGTATGTTCCCAGACTGGAATTCCCACATGTTTGGCAATGCTGGTTAGGGAGCTGGGAGCTATGCTCCAATACGAAGTCAGAGTTTGGAAAGTGTACTTTTTGGACTGTCATTTCCAGAACTCCCAGATAGCATGTGTTGTGGAGGACTGAAACCTGTACAGTGGTACCTCAGTTTACTAACGCCTCGGTTAATGTAATTTTCGGTTTATGAATGAAAATCCATTGAAAATAATGCCTTGGTTTACAGTATTTTTCCCCTCAATATGAAGCAAGCTTCCTCAGGATGCCTTGTGCCTAGAAGGTTTATAGCGCCATCCCCCCCCCCCATGCATGCTGGAGTCTGTGGGTAGTACGTGGCGTTGAGTGTGGAGGTGTTGGAGCCATTCTGGAATTTTATTTTATTTTTTTGCAGTGGTTTTGGGACTTTTGGGGACTTTTTGGTGCATTTCTCAAACAGTGGAAAGGTAGGGAGCAGAGGTTTATAGTTTGCATGCCTTTTACTGTGTGTTTTGCATTGTGGGTTGGTTTCCATGCCAGCTCAATATGGACAGATTTTGGGGGTTTTCATTAGCTTGTGTAGATAGACTTGGGGCTCTTGGAGTGGAGCATTGAAAGCCTGGGTGTGGGTGTAAAGCATTATTTTTTTTCTGCTCACTTAGTGACTGTGGTGTCATGGCACCCAAGAAAACAGCGGAAGCTGGGAAGAGGAAGAAGGAAATGATTCTGCTTGAGGTCAAGAAAGAAATCATCAGGAAGCATGAAGGAGGAATGAGATTGACTGACCTCGCCAAAGAGTATGGAAAGAGTGCATCCACAATCGCTACCATCCTAAAGATGAAAGAGAAGATAGCTGGGAGAGATGCAGCCAAGGGAGTCACCAGGGTCTCCAAGCAACGGCCACCTGTTGTGGAGGAGGTTGAAAAGTTGCTCCTGCTCTGGATTGAAGAGAAGCAGCGTGCAGGGGACACAGTGACTGAGGCGATCATCTGCAAAAAAGCCAAGGCCTTGCATGCTGACCTCCTCGACCAACAGCCAGGAACGTCAGCTGATGCAGAAGGCTTCAAGGCGAGCAGGGGGTGGTTCAGAAGGTTCAAGCCCAGATCTGGCATCCACAGCGTGGTCAGGCATCGGGAAGCCACAAGTTCCAATGTTGCTGCAGCTGAGGAATTTGCTACTGAGTTCCTGGAGGTCATGGTTTCAGAGGGCTACCTTCCTCAGCAGGTCTTTAACTGAGACAAGACTGGGCTCTTCTAGAAGAGGATGAGACCTCACTATCTGGCCACAAGCTGATGAAGGCCCGTCTCACCCTCCTGTTCTGCGCCAAAGCCAGTTGGGACCTTAAGATCAAGACCCTGCTTGTCTACCACTCAGAGAACCCACAGGCCTTCAAGAAACACAAGGTAAAGAAGGAGCAGTTGAATGTTTTGTGGCGGTCCAACCCAAAGTCTTGGGTCACACGCCTCTTGTTTGTGCAATGAATCAATCTGTTTTTTGATCCTGCTGTCAAGCAGTACCTTGTGGAAAATAACTTGCCACTCAAGGCCATGCTTCTCATGGACAATGCTCCTCCTCATCCTTCAGGCCTCAAGGAAGACTTGCTGGAGGACTTTAACTTCATCACGGTTGTGTTCCTTCCACCTAAAACCACCCCACTACTCCAGCCAATGGACCAGCAGGTCATCTCCAATTTTAAACAACTCTATACAAGGGAGCTTTTCTGGCAGTGCTTTGAGATGACAGATTGATCAAGCTCACTCTCCATGAATTTTGGAGAGACCATTTTGACATTGTGAGCTGTCTGCAAATTATCACCATTTCCTGGGCCAGAGTCAGCCAGAGAGTGCTAAATTCTGCTTGGTGCAACCTTTGGCCAGACTGTGTTGTGACATGTGACTCCGATGCTTCTGCACCTGCACTAGAGTCAACAGTGTTGGAGGAGATTGTTTTCTTGGGGAGGAAAATGGAACTGGAGATGACTGAGGAGGATGTCTGCGAGCTGGTGGAGGGACACGACCGTAGGACCTGGTGGAACTGCAGAGGGAGGTGATGGAGGAGCAGATCTCATTTGAGGAGGAGGAAACAAGTGAGGAACAGCTCTCTCCTAGGTAACTCAATGAGGCATGCCAAATGTGGGCAAACCTACAGACCCAGATAAGGCTCTAGCCCAGAGACTTGTGAACAGTTTTGACACCAACATCATGTCCCCTTTCCAAGGGATGCTCAAAAGGTGCCAGAGGCAGCACATAAAGGAAAGGTTCCTACTAAAACAGCCTGGACATGAAGAAGAACCTGCTTGTGTTAGTGCTGCCCAGTTGCCGCCTCCTCCTCTTCCAAAAAGTGTTGAAATTGTTTTGAAAATGTGTTTAAATGTAGAACAGTTGAAGTTTGCCATGTTTTCCCTGTTGAAGTGTGATTTATGTAGAGTTGAAGTGTACTGTATCATGTTTGAAAAGTTTGCCATGTTTGAAATGTTAAAGTTGGATGTTTGAAATGTTATTGCTTGATTAATTATATCCATGTACAGTATTTATGCCTTTAAAGTGCACTTTATAAAGAGTTTTGAACAGATAAAAGTCATTTGTTGACTTTTTTCTGATCTCTGGAACGGATTGATTGGGTTTCAATGCGTTCCTACGGGAAACCGCGTTTCAGTTTACGAATTTTTCGCAATACGAAACGTCCCGAAGAATGCATTAAATTCGTAAACTGAGGTACCACTGTAGCTCCCAAAGTAACTTTTCCAAACTCTGCATCACGAGGGATACATATTTCCCACCTTTGCTATAGTTGCCTTGAGTGATGGAAACATAGCAGCAAGGTTAATGATGGCAGTATAAATAGGTGAGCAAGTGCTGCCCTTGAATTATCTTTGATATTCTTAGTTAGCTTTCTTCTTATCTGTGATTCTTCCTTTGGGGATCTAGATTTTTTTAAAAAAAAAAACCCTCACAGTGAGTGAATTCTGGGGTATTTTCTGACCCCATTGAGTGTAATGCTTTTCAAATAGTTTCTTTTGCATTCTAAATCTAGACCAAGCCATGTGGTCAAGCTTGATGATGCCCACTGGATCCTAAAGCATATTCAGTCCAGTTGTCTTTCTCAAGTGGTTGTATAAATAGGCTCTGTCAGACAGTGTAGCAGGACAGACCTATCATATTTAAAATGTGTGGGATTCTGCTGCGGCCCGGGGTAACGTGGGAATAAAATGACAAGAGATCTGTAGCCAGCACATTCTTCCTTATGACAGATTGAGCCTACACTATTATCACAGCAGTGCATGCCATTCTATGTGCTTGTTGTCATGAGCTGTCAAGTCATAGCTGACTTATAGTAACTCTATCATGGTTTTTAGTACTGTATAAGTGGGGTATTTAAGGTATCAAAGGAAGCCGCACATAATTAAAGTCATTTGAAATATCTTATCAAGATCATTGGAGAAATCTGAGTGTACAATTTCATGTGCCAGAAGGAAGAATCTAGCAACAATTCTTTGATTGATCTTTCATGCAACCCTGAGCGAACGGCCAGTTGCTTTAAGCAGACGATGAGCTTAATGTTTCAGTAAACCTATGGAAACTTTCCACAGGTTGTCGGGTGGGTGAATCTTCTAGGTGGCAGTGTCCAGTCTTTGAAATTCTTTGTCCCAGAATATCTGATTGAGTTTTTCACTGTGTTTTGTTAGTAAGTCAAAATTGTATTGTTTCATCATGCTTTGGAGCTGGGCAGTAGTTGATTATTTGTTTAATATTCTCATCATGGAACCTTTCTGATTTGTTTGATTTTCTTACCTTTAAAAAAATTGTTTGTAATTTACCTGTAATGGTGACAATAAGTATTTGACATCATATCGATTCTGACTTATGGTGTCCCTATCCAGGGTTTTCTTGATAGAGAGTACACATAAGTGGTTTACCATTTCCTTCTTTTGAGGGTGCCCTGAGATTGTATAATTTGACCATGACTACAGGGGCTGGCTCTTTTCCCAGGGAGTCAAACTCCCACCCCTGGTTCCACAGCCAGACACCTAAAGCATTGAGCTACCCTATCAGATGAACCTCAGATGGCACTTTTTAGAGCCAGAATAATAATAACCACATATGCTCCTCCTGGCATAGTTTTCAACCATCTCTACACTCTCACCATCCACCTTTCCTCCAAAGTGCTACTAAATACTATCATCCTCACACACTGATTAAAGTTCTATTTCGCTTCTGTGGTTTGAAATGTACAGTTTCCATATTCCAAGTTATATAACTTACTGCCATAGTCATGTGGTCTTCCATTAGCAACTGTAGATTCACCAGCTCAGTTGTCTCCACTCTGAAAAGAAAAATATCATTTTAACAAAAACTAATGGCTTGATGGTACCCGTGCTTTTTGTTTTGTTTTCCTCATCTGCCCCTGTTGGCATGTCAAGCCACCTAGTTCTGGCAGCGACACAAGTCCTAGTCTCTTTTCTGTATTTGTCAGCCATCATCCAAAAGCATACGAACCAGACGTTTTGTTTTGCCCAAGGACTTGGAAGGGGAAGATCAAAGCGCAAGAATGAGGATTGATTCTGATACAACTGTAATGAAAAGAAAATGCCTGTTACCCTTTTTTTTCTGAAAGCTTAATTGTGTAGAATCCAATAAACATTGCCATAATGAGTGCAAGACTGACTAGAATGTTTTAGTCTCTGCCATTAGCCAGCAGGCTTGGAGCCCCTATCAGGTTGTGCCCACTTGCCTTCAAGGAGGAACATCACGACAACGGGAAAACCCATCTGTCTTCATCTGCTAGCCAGAGAAGGAGCAGGTACAGCAATCTTACCTCCCACTCATGTTGTTCCCAGTAGGAACATTTGACTCTAACTGACAGTTGCCCTGACACTAGTAAAACCTTGAAGGGAAATACACAGTGTACATAGGACTGCTAGATAATGTATTTTCCCCATGTATAATACCCCCCACTTTTCTAACCCAAAATTAAGAAATCAAGATTTTAAACATTAAAAAGAACACATGTTTATTTAGTAATTAGGTAACATTTACATATCAGTACTGTCATATTATGCAATCGCACTTTATATTCAGCCTCTGGGCTCAGAACGCTCTGACATTAGGAGTTCCTGTTGCATCTGAGCAGTGTTGCAATTGGTCAGCATCAGCTGACATCAGCTACATAAGGCTTGTGACTGGAGTAAGCTAAGCCTCCTGATTAGAGGCAACTAAGCCTCCTGATTGAAGGGATTCTGTTTGCAGAGGCAAGATATGGGCCGTTTTGTTCTCTCCTCAGCTTACCTCCATGTATAAGACAACCCTCAATTTTTAGCCTTAACGATTTTAGGAAAAAATAGCATCTTATACACGGAAAAATACAGTAGCCTGTGTATAGTTAAAGACAAAGACCTCTGACTCTTCGGATAAGAGCATCTTATACATGGAAAAATACAGTAACCTGTGTATAGTTGAAGACAAAGACCTCTGACTCTTCGGATAACATAATACTGTTTGTGTAACTGCAAAGAAATAGTATCTAGTTTTATTATTTTTCTTTCCCTCCCTTCTCTTTGTTCCTTTTTGCATTGTAACTTAAGACTGCAAGGCTTCAGGTAGAAGTTGTCATCTCTGAATTAGAAATTGGTGCTTCATATTCATATTATAAATGAAGCCTGGTACCGCAGGTGATACCGATTCCCATCCCCCCCCCACCCAGAAGCAGCCAACCCACTTACCGGACTCCCATGTAGCACAAGGGTCCGCCTTCAGTGCCAGCGCACCAATCCAAGAAGAAGCCTAGCTTGCTGTCACCATCTCCCTATGCAGCCGACCACTGTGATGCAGAGTCTCCCTGATCAGCCAATGAGTGGTCGGTTGCTCGGGGAGGTTCCAGTTGGTATCCTGTGCTGAAGGCGGACCCCTATGCTGCACAGGGCATGGTAAGTGGGCTGGCTGATTCTTGGCGTGGGGCACAGGAATCGGTACCATCTGTGTTACCAGGCTTTCTAATACAAATATGAAGAGCCCATCTCTACTCTGAATACTTACAGCTGTTAGAAAATGACAGGTACTTTGTTAATGAAAATAGGAATGTTTATAATGATGCTAAGTAATGGTAAAGGAAGGAAAGATTCTTTCCCATCCCCTCAACTAATAATCCTTCTGCCCCATCAGCTTCCCAAAAGTAGAGGTCCAGAAGACCTATACAACTGTTTAGGATCCTTGGGAAACATTTAAATGCTCTTCTAACAAGGAGCCCTGCTATCACCTGTATAT